CGAGCGAAGAGGGAATGAACTCCCCTCCTGAATGTCATTCTTCGCCGACCGATTTTCCGATTCATTCCTTTGATTCATCTCCATCAGCTCCAGTCGACGATTTGAGAGAAGATCCTTGCGCAACCAAATCGAGTCAACGAGGTCTCTCGAAGAACTGGGGCGGGGCAGATATCAAGCGTCAAGAGTGACAGAAAGGAGAGAATTAACATTTTCTCCGCTTTTCAGCGCCCGAACGTGTACGGCATCCTAATACTTTCTCCGAGACTTTGATGTGTGGCATCGCTCGAGTCAAAGGAAGCCCGAGGTGAAAAGCGCTGCTTGCCGGAATCGATTGAAGGAGGAACTGCTTGGTCGCAGAAGAGTTCATCTGGGTGAAGGAGCGCAGTCCCAGGCGTCTGAACCATTCCCTCCCATCATGCCGAAGATGTGGCTGGAATAAAGTTGGGGAGCCGACGGGAACACAGAGGGCAGGGAGCGAAAACTTGACGGAAGCTGGTGGGTGAACCGGGCCGCAGATGAAAGCGGAGAAACTGAACGAGCGAAACAGGATTGAGACCATGGAGGGTGAAATAGTTTTGGCAAGCATTCAAGAGGAACAAAGATTGGAAGGCCTGCGTCGCTGTCGTCGTGAGTGTTTTCGAGTTCGATGTGGAACCCATCCGCTTCTCTCTCATGCCGGGGAGCGAGGAAATAATGCTCCTGAAGAAGCCGTGAGCTTGAAGCACTCCGGAGACGGCTACTTAGGGAACGATGATTTGGGGAAAACAATTCGTAGCTCGTTAACAAACACTCCCGAAGATTTTGAGGCGAAGCTCTAATGGAATCGAGCGCTTCCCGGGATCGAAATTCGGGAGCTTTTCTTCCTCTCGCTGTCGTCTCGATGTTCTCCGAGCGGCGGGTGGAAAGCTCGAAATTGTGACGACGATGGCGCCGCTCCCCGCATTGCGGGATTTCGGAAGAGGTTCGGCCTCTCCGAATTACCGAAGTACCTCCGTAACTCGAGAGGTTCTCTTTTGCCCGTCCCTGTCTTTTTGAGCGAAGTGCTCCGCTGTTTATTCAGACGACTCTCCCGCATATGCTGCTCCCATCCTCTTCTCGATTCGGCTCTATTCATCTGGAGAGTCCCTCGAATAACAAGGACCTTCTGCTGAAAAAACCCGCAGCTGGACTGGGAATGAATTTCAGAGAATACTCACATAGTAAGTGACCGAAAAATGAGAGACAAGGAAGGATCGTCCCTCCGTTCCTGGAGCAAATCGGAGTGACCTCGCCGTCAGCCCTCCTCTGCAACGCCAGAAACTTCTTCCTAATATTGTCTCTCCTCGTTCCCAATCTCCTCCTCGTGGATTACAAGTCATCCGTCGTTAATCAGCGCGATGGACGCAGCGTTCATCTGAACTGATTATGATAATGTTCTCATTCAGGACTCTTCCCAAGTCACACACCGCAGAGCTTTCGCGTATTTCTCCTCGTCCCTTCAGGTGAGTAAACTCACCTCTTTCGAGGGGGTTCCCCCCAGGCCTGTGCAACTGCTACCCCATTCATCCGCCAAATTGTGCAAGTCAAAACAAATTATGCTGGAGAACACAAATGATCTCACCGCATGCAGAGACATTACGCAGTCGCAGCTGGTTCTGCGAGAACGGGCTGCTGTCTGCGAATGCAGCCCCAAATCATGGCATGCCTACCTCGTGATCCGCAATATTAGGGTGAGATAGCACGCGTATGTACTCATATGTCTTCAGGAACGCGTGTGTGCATCCCCGGGAGACACATGCGCAGCAAACTTCGGTGTCTGGTTTCTGACTCAGAGAGTGGAACCTCGATTGCAGGCAGCTGACTTCTAGACGTCCCGCAGGGCCGAGTAAGACGGGGCAAACGCGACGCCGAGTCAGACTTCACACTTGGAATACACAAGACGCAATATCCTGTAGTGGAGGTTGTTCCGCTGTCTGTCGAGTCCTCTCCTCTCGGACGTGGCCTGAATTCGATTGGTTCCGCGCCCTCAGTCCAGCTGCTTAGGACCGCACATGGAACAAACCGAAGATATTACATCTCCGATTTGGCTTCTGATTGTTGTGATCGTCCTCATTTCGTTTGCGTAGAATATACCTCGACCCAATTTATTGATTCCGTCCCGGCGAGCTCAATCAGTGACGTATGGACATAAGAATCGATAAATCCTATGGGAGGAGTATTCCGCAATCTACGCCACCGGACATCGATCCGTTCGACAATGGAATAAAATGTGTGAACATTATCTAGGACGAGAATCTCGGGGATCGAGTAAGTTCTCATCGGAACGGAGCACTAGGTCCCGGACAGTCCGGTGAGCGACTTGGCCGGAAAATTTTGAATCTATCTGGAATCGTGAAGCAATCGTCCATTCGGAGCTTCTCCGGAGCGTCACGCAGCGGAGCCGTCCTGGAAGCCGAATCGACGTAGCAGCCGCGAGTGAAGATCCATCAAAATCGCAAAACTATGTGGAGTAGGAGCTCCTTATCCTCGGTGGCGCTTCCCAATTCAATCGGTTCATTCTGCGCCGGATACACGCAGATCACTGTGAATCTCTCGACGTTCTGCTCGAATCTTAATTTGCACAAGCTATTTTTGTTTTCACCCTCGAGCGCGAAGAAAAACGACTCGCTATGAAAGGCAAAACCGAGAGCGATTTCCGTCAGACAGATTTTCATCCTTGTCGATCAGGACGTCCTGGTCTCTGAAATTCTAGAAGCGTCCAGCAGACCCGCTAATCTCCCCATAGTTTCGTGTTACCTCGGAGCTTTCAGGAAGGTGATGACTTGAGGGATGTTTGAGCATAAAAATTTAGCTCGGTCAATGAAGTTTTTATGCCTTCGGAGTCCCTCACCCGAACGGTGAGAGTGTTTTTCCCGGTTTGCGTCTGAGAGGTAGAGAGTCGCGAACTAATGACTCGCACGATCGAGCGCTTCCGGAAATTACGGCTACCCAACATTCCGCCGGCACGGACTGAGGTCTGGTCCACGCTAAGGAGCTCAGAGTCTGATGTCAGAAGTTGTCGACAGCCGAACGTCATTCGAGATCCGTCCAATCTCCGTGGAAGCTGTCAATCAAGGATTTTCAGAGCGGCCGGGATGTCCCATGATATCGAATTTAATTCGATCCAGGCGGATGGTTACCCCCCCTGTCAGGAATCTAATTGGGGGATGAATCAGCGGGTGGAGGATCAGTCTGCGTCTGGAAAGTGGAGGAGCGTCCGAGCCTTGACATAGTTTTGGTTCCGGAGCTTATGGCAACATCCACTAGATTATCGACTCTGATTTTTTCAGTGCGCCGCGATTCGACTTCATCGCGGATTATGAGATCGTAGCATACGAGAGCGGCTCCGCCGCGAAAGCGACGGCGGCGTGAAACTTGATAAGGACATGGCCCTCCATTCACATAGCATACAGTGCAGAAGCCGCGCAAATCCGGCGGAATAATTCAATTTCAGAAGAGGCTCCCGGATCGGGCTTCATCCTCCACAATCGATCCATTGAGTCCTTCCTGCTGTGAGCCGATGTCGTTGAAGTCCGATGGAGTCGAAATCTGACTCGATGCGGGAAAATTGTGCGGAACGCGAAAGTCTCGACCAAAGATCCGAAAGCTCTCATTCCATTAGAGGGAAAAATGCTTCGGAAGCATCGAGGATCATGATTCCATAGAGTTGGGAGGATCGGCTATAGCGAGGCATCGGCATGCTGCCCGCACGGGTGTCGAGACAAAGTTCCTTCCGGCCGTCTCCAGTCACAATAAACCTGAGGAAGCGCGAGTCCGGGATCCAGGGCTTCACCAGAGATCCGTCGTCCGCGTCCATCTCTCGAGCTCTCGTCGAACAGCGATGGATAGCAGAGAAGTCGGATGGGTATTCTGCTCGCATCCGGATCTCTAGTGGTCGAAACGGTATCTGACAGCCGGCTGCTCCTCCCGGAAATCAGGGCAGGCTCTCGGTCCTCCCTCTCCGCAGAGATGGGGGGGGGGGGCAACACTTGGGACTGGGCATGGGACTGCGTGCACACCCGAGCCTTCTCCGTACCGTTTTTCCCCCTGGAAAACAATCGGATTCTCTCACAGGGTTCGAGTCCCGAACCCGGAGGACAGTGTAGCATCGAGACGCGAGGAAGTTGCGACGGTCTGCTTAGACTGAATTGCTGCTCCGCCGTTCCGACAGCCTTGGTTTCAGGCGCACGTGGCGTGGCCGTTTGCGGTCGATCCACCCAGCAGAAACTCGATACAAACAACGGCTTGATCAGACTGTGCGCTGCGGCAGCACGACACTGGCTTTGAATGCGATGCTTCACCAGCATCAGAATAATTCCATTGTGTCAATTGGACTGCGATGGCTAGCTCACGTGTGAGCTGGGTGGGCGAGGTTACCGCAGACGCTCTTCCTGAGAGGCGAACAACCACGCAAGCGGCAAGTTCCTCGTGGGCCAAACGGTCCACGTGGGGATGCCAACAGCCGTGTTTGAGACCCACGGAGTTGGGCTCAGCTGATTACCTGTCGAAGCGCAATCGGATAATCGCTACCCAGCTCCGTCCTTCGCAGGAGAATGAATTTCTGATCTACCGACCTGCATATGTGCTTCCGAGGTGCGAACGCACTCCAGACGTCAACTCTCGCCCCTGCTGTAGCATCCCTCTCCCTAACGTGATGGTCACCACAGTGTCTCTCCATGGGCGAACACTCACGAACTCAGCTGCCTTCGAATACTTCTGAAAGCGACGTTTCTCGCGTCACGGGCGTCGTTGTCCGTATGCTGCTGCTCGTTGTCGTCGTGGTGATCATAGTCAACGAGCCGAGCCATCGATCCGATAGGCGACAACACATTGCCGTGTTGTAGCGCTGCCAAAAGCAAGCCTATTTCGCTATCCAGCTGAGAGCCCAGAGCTCTACTCTCGTGTGATGTCGGCCAAGTTCTACGGGCGCTCGTGCGGTCGCAGCCGCGAGAAACGCTGTTGACTGGAGAAAATTCGTGGGAATGCCACCGATTGCTGAAAACGCCCGCCGGCCCTCAACTTTCTCTGTTGTCAGGTTCGTTCCAGAGATTCCATTCTGGCGAACGAGCCATCCGACTCCGTCGCCTGAATTTAAAGCCGTACGGATTAGCTGGCACACGGTAGAATAACCGTGTAAGTCGTCTGAGCCTTTCCAACCGCGATTTCGTAGCTATCTACGATCTTACGAGGACATAACTCTCGTAATACAGAGAGATTGAGGTTCCGGCGCGAAAATCCAACAATAGATGAACAGTTCTCTCTGACTGCTGAGCTCGCGGAGGTTTCGAGCCAAAAACGTTCTCGGGGCACTTAGAAGGGCTCCCTGCAAGAGAGGAGACGTCTTAAGTCTCCATTGTGTTCGGTTACAGTGAAAATCGGTGCTTCCCGAGTAATCTCACGGTGTATCCTGTCTCGCCAGTGTTCAGCAACAGCTCTATGAGACCCACGCGGAAAATTTTGCGTCAGAGATGCATATTCTCGGCTGCAGGTGAGATTTCTACGATTCGCGATCGATTCAGTTTAGATAGAAGCTTCGCACCCATAGGAACGCCTCGATCCTTCAGATCAGAGTCGTCGGAGTGGGAGCGTGGAGATTCGGAGACTTCTTCAATCTCTGAAAAGTCACTGAGCTGGCCGGGGAGAAATTCACTCGATGCATATCGATTCTGTACCGTAATCATGTTTCGATCGTTCCGGGGAAACATCTCAGTAGCAGACTGCCGGACTGCACTCACGCCGAATCAACACCTTCCGATTGGAACAGGAAAACGCTCGATCATTCATCCATTCCAGCTCGTTCCGCTACATACGCACAATCTCCACAAATATCACGTTCACAAGTAGTTCGTCATCCAAGCAGGGCGCGGCTCGGTGTCTCTTTAGAGTGCCAGCCTGAAGAGCTGGCAAGAGGAAGCGCGAAGGAAGAGTATTCGTTCTGCTCGGTCCCCTTTCTCCCTATTGAAATTCCGAATGAGTCTCCGTACGTCGACGATGTTTTCACTCCCGTTCTACCGCCATTCTACCGTGTTCCGTCGGCTCTATTCCGTCGCCGACTCCAGCGGGCTCCGGAATGTCTGGATCTTGATGATTAGAATGAATCATTTCAAATATGCCTCGTTGACGAGCTCTGATTGTGAACTTGATCGGATTTTCGAGTGTCCAACTGGCTCACATTAGAATGGGGTCTACCGATAGTCGGATGACGCGTCGCCGCAGCGAATGTTAACTTGCTCCTCTCGACTGTCGTACGGCTGGATATGCGATGGAGGGGAGCGCAATGAAAGACAGATCCCGGAAAACCATGTCGATCTTCGGAGAACATCACGAAATCGGTCATCTCCGCGCCCTGAACACACCTTGTTGTGGTAGACTAAGTAATTCAAGACGTGTCGGTGAATCGGTAGCTCCCTTGCCTTCAAGCAATTCACGAGACTGCAGTCGGTCGGATCGCTTTCTAGCATGACCTTGAGGGAGGTTTTCCACCCTTCCCTACACGGAGCAAAGTATTTAAATGCGACACGAGAAGCCCCGAGCGATTTTGTTCTTTGTCTACCACCGGCCGACTTGCGAGCCTGTCACGCGAGCATTGGTCACGAGAAGCGCTCCGCGGATCGACCCAGAGTTTTCTTTCTCGTCAGTAATGTTCATTCTCGGACTGGGATCTCTTGGAATCTCCGTGCACTCTAGACAGTGACCATTGGCCAACGCTACGGTAATCTCTCAAGGAGCCGCGGATCCTTCCCATGGAAGCTCAATGGACTTTGGAAAACCGAACGTTGCCGGAGCTGGAAGATCTGCCTACAGCTCCCGTCTCGGCTGTTCCGTTCCAGGACAAGCTAAGGGCACGAAAGGGGAACGTTGAGTTACGTTAAGACCGACGCGCCTCTGCTTTCAATGGCGCCGGGGTCTGAGGACGATCGTGACCGAATCTTTCCCGAAAACAAATGTACCGAGGACATTCATTGCAATCAGACCGTAGATAACCCACGCGGGATCCGCGGCTCAGGGGAGAACCCGTGGAGGGAGATTAAAAGAAATGAAAACAATCAGCCTCTGACTTCGTGAAAAGGGAAAGTGAAAAGAGGGAAAAGGTCCCCAAGTCTTGAAATGGGAAGTTCGATTCGTGAGAGCTCCGGAGACCTGGGACACCTGGCCCCGATCACTCATTCATCTATGTCGCAGGCAGATTGCTTAGCTGTTCGGGACATGCGGGGGATTGAATCGCTCCAACGGCAGAAGGTCTACTCGACACGATCTGCGAGTAACGGAAGACTGTTCACCGATTTCCGGGAGATGGTTCCCATAGGCTCGGAAACGGGATGTTCGCGCGAGAGACCCTAGACCTCTCGTTTGATACTCTACATGTCTTTCACCACAATTAGAACCACAGAAGAAAAACCGATTTACGGGAGGAAGAGACCGCGACAAGCTCATCAGACTGGCAGTTGTGTCCGATCCGATTCCTACATTGACGAGTGCTGTCAGTCAGGGGCGGCCCCGTCGAGCCCGCCGGGTACTCAAGGGGCTCGAGGTTGAGGAACTTCTCATCAGATTAATATTTTATTGATTTTTCCATGCATACGGGAATATCGTCGCCAGAAGATTACCAATCTCTTGTCCGGCATCGCCCGATCGGTTTCCTGGCGCACGGTCCTCGATCTTTGCGAGTGATACTCGAGAATTCCTCGTCGGATCCGATGGAATATCATACGGAGGCCTGCATTATGATGCTAAACAACTAGCTCAGTGTCACTGATACCCCCTGTGCAGCAGCCGCAGGAGCAAGCTAGTCGCTTCTAACGAACTCGCTTTTGTGAACATCTAACCCGAGGCTTTGCTGGATCGAGAACGCCGCCTCTCGGAGTCTCGGGTATCGGAGAAAGTTTTCTGGGACTCTGCCCTCGCCCAAGCTATCACAAGCGTTTAAGGCTTCCGAAGCTCGGGGACGCGAAGAATCGGTACGTGCGACGTGTTCGCTCAGACAGAAAAATGAGCCGAAACCAGAAGTCTGGGGGTGCGTGGAATGAATGTCTTCCGGTGGCTACGATTACTTCGACCACATTATGTTCTCTCATCGCAGCGTCGGATCCCTGCGCGAGACTGAATAAATCTCGCTTCTATTCCGTGATCCGGAGCATTCTGTGAGTCTTTCTGTGGAAAAAGACTCTCCGTCCGTGGTTTTCCGAATCATGGAATTCTCATTTTCCTGAGTCCATGAATAATAGTTCTATGGTCCATCACGATTTATTGCTGTTTTCTCCGGAGAATGTCCGGACTGTTCGAACTTATGAGTCGAATGTCAACTCCGGCCCCCATCTTTCTTTTCGCGTGCGGCAGGATCCCGTTCCGCAGCCTCGAGAAGAAGCCTGCTGGAAAAGACGGATTCTGCTTCCGTCAGGTCTCTCCTGAGTCCCGAGTACGGGCATCGAGACCGCGAATAGAGAGAGATGTTCCCCCCATGTAAATCAAAGCCATCCGATCTGCTCCTCGGGTTCAAGTTTTTCCTCTATCGAAGGCTACGCGCTTCCTTGTCAGGAGCAGACGAGTTCCGCTGACGACGTCCGTCGCTCTAGAATAGACGCGACGAGTATTGATGCTGCCGTGGCGTTGTCAACCTCGCTCTGAATTTTTCCCCGTGGTCGGAGGTTGTATCCTGTGCGGAAAAATTGTGGATGCGTATATTGAGTGGATATTTTCGGGAACGGATCCGGGCGGACGACTTCTCCTCTACGTTCGGAATATGCAACCAGGACAGACGGAGCGAGACAATCGATCAACAGCAGCAGACATCGAGGGTGAGGCGGATTCAGTTCGTCTTCGGTGCGCGTTTCAGATTCTTCGGCTCGTCTCATTGAGAGTCGCGTAGCACTCTGATTACGGATGCAATGCTCTACGATGAATTTCTCGACTGTTAATGCATCGAAGAGGAGCTCCGGACAAAGGCTCCGCACCTACCCGCAGAGCCTTCGCATCCAGATCCACTTCGGAGCAAGTGATGACGATGACTGTTGTCGCAAGCATGCTGAATCGGGAATCACGCCGCTGCTCTGGGCTCCCCCGAGTTTTTCGTTCCCGAGAGAGCAAGCGATAAGATCGATGGACTATCCGAATCGACGGGCACTGAGGGATCTACGCTCCTATTTATTTCCATCTGACTCCGAATTCCATGAGAGCTAGGACGACCCGTGTCACTTTCGACGAGACCTCGAAACGGGTCTGAAATCTCGGAGGTATCTATAGAGCCGGACAAAATTCTGATGAAGAAAGGATTCCTAGGATGACACCTCTCGTGTTGGGACCGAAAACACTAGAATGCGGTTTTCCGTTTGCTTCAACCCACCACTGATTTTTCCCCGCCGCGCCATACTGGGTGAATTAATCAGCTTCCAAATGGACGTAGCGTTCGCACGGATTCTGACAAGAGCGATCCTTGCTCAGGAGAGCGTCGGAGCGTCTCGTCGCCGGAGGCAATTGCGTGACAACTTCTATTTTGCTACTGACGAGTAGCTTGTTTCGCCAATAAATCTCCAATATGTGCTCAGCTCATTGATGGACGCTCGGGGTGGGAAAAATCCCGCAAGACTATCTGCGCCACCATCGCGAGCTCACGCTGGGAAGCGAACGTCGCCCAGAATATCACCGGATCTCCATGAATCTCCAGCTCGATAATCACGCTGTCTACCTGAACTCGTGTTCGGCGCTTTTCGGCCTCCAAATTAATTCGTGAATTATCGAGTCCATGGAAAATTACGAATTTCTGGTCCTGTAAGCGTTCTGTCGTGAGCCGCCGAGGTAGAATTATCATCAGTACATAAAGTGCGTTCTCATGTATTCTCTTTTCAACTTTCAGCCATTGCCATGATAGGCCTCATTTCGGCAGTCTATGTCTTCATCACATTGCCGATGCAGAGCGTACCTCCAGTCGATGCCTTGCCTCCGGCTAGAAGGGACAGCTGGGATGAACGAACTTCCGCCGATGACCAAGGAGAGTCTGCTCTGATTACACGGTGAGGCTCAAGCTCCTTTCAAACTTCGTTCCCCGATATGAGAAGAGGAAGCTATGCGATATTGTTCTTCCGTCACTTTATTGTATTTCGGCGAGAGCGGATTCCGAAGGAAAACAAGTGTTTGATGTTCCGGAGTCCAGTTCCCCCGGTGTTCGACCAGATATCGGAGGCTCTTCTGCAAAGACCACATCTCGAGATCCGTGTCGATTTGAAAATAAGCTCCGTATATTGGAGAATACTTGTTTCTCCTTTCCCACCGAAGCATGGGACTGAGGTAGAAGAGATCGTCGACAGTTATGAAATCACCCCATCGGTTCTCGGCATCCGGCAGGCTCTATGTTTTCCTGCTTGGCGGGAAACGGCGGATACCCTCCGGTCATCGGAGCGATTTCGCCGAATGATGCGCATATCTTCTTCGGGAGGAATCTGTCCCTACGGATTTTCTAGCTCTCGGTCGGATAGCCCCGGGAATGAGAAGATGATGGAGTGCAAACCTTCGCTTCTGGGATATGAGGATGAAGCTACTTCATGTCGCGTTCACGTTATTCAACGTACCTGATCTATATTCGCCTGTGCTGCGCGGAGCTTGAATCGCACCAGGTTGGCGCAGAGAAGTGCGCGACACGCGAAGGCGTGCGCGGATCATATTCACAGTTTGTTCGGTGAAAGTAAATCAGATCCGGATCGAGGATGCGTACGCAAGCGAGGCCCATTCCCCTGAGTCAGGATCGTCAGGATCTGCGACAGACACATTGAGCACTGAGTCATTTTCCGAAGTTTGATTTTCAGAGGACTGCCATCCCTATTCGAGCAGCGCCGATCTTCTCTAAAGAGACTCCTCGATGACGACGCTGGAGATCCCGTGGAAATAGTGGACTCGACAACACTCAAAGGTATGCTTCAAACGAAATGGATCCCGTCTCCGTGAAGTTTCTGTCCGGCAAAGTCGACTCCTATCCGGAGTTCGAAGGGAGCCTTATCGAACACGGTCGCGCGGGCCTGAGTCTCATTAGGTTCCGAATCGGAGCAGGAATAGTTGTGCGCTGAGTTCCACAGTAATGAGGACATCTGAGATTTTCGGACCTGAACAGAAGGAGTACTAGGCCTCTGAAGGAGACGTTGAGCTCGTCTGATTGGGACGGGCGATTCAGACGAATTGAGCGAGTTCCGTCAACTCCGGCTAAGTTCACGCTGTCTGTTCACAGAAAACGGCTATTCCTCGTACATTCGCCTGGTACGCGGCCTGCGAGACCTCAATGATTTCTTGGCAGACGCCTCGGACACGGTTCCGCGAGAGGCGATCGTCGCTCATGCACAACGATATACGAGATCGTTGGAAAAAGTAGCCGACCAAATTGACGAGCAATATACTCGTCGCCGAGCGCGGGACGTCATGAGTCAACTCAGCCGGAACTTCCGAGAGGCTCTCGATCGGCTGCAGTTTCCGGCCAACTGTTCGGAGGCTCAGGCTGTCCTCTGCGATCTTACGAATCCCCACGGGTTCGCATCTGGGATCAGCGATGCTCTCCACTGCCTCTTACGGGGATTGCAGCGTAACCGAACCGTTGTGCTCCGAACGACGAATTGGCATTACACTCGGGACCTAGAATGGGGCCAGGTCTTCGAGCCGCTGTCAGGATGCACCGAGAAAGAAGTCATCCAACCGATCGAGAGGGGATACCCCGAGACCTGGAACCTGGGTGAGTCTCACCAGCCGTAGATTCGCTTTCCCCAGGAATAATGATCAATTCTCGAAGCCCAGGGTCATTTTCCGCAAGCTGTGCTCGAGTTCAGACGCTCGGAATTATTCCGGCGGAAAGCATGCGACGGACAACATGAGAGAAGACGAATTGGCATGGCGCATGGCGCGTCTGTTTCTGAGCCTGCTCAAAATTCATTCGCGACGAGAGAGCATATTCAGAGTCGAACAGTGCCCGAATGCCAACAAGTTCCTCTTCCCGCCTCGGCATGTCGCTCCAGCGGACGCATCTGTTTGGCGTGTTCGGTGCGATCATTCATTAGTTCTGAGCCCTCACTTCGCACATCGGGGGCGTGCGTCGTTAACGCGCCGCCGACTTCACTTCTTCGCAGTTCGAGTGGGACTCGAAAGAGTCCACCACCGTGACAGAAGCCTCTTGAGCTTTCCGGAGTCGACCTGCGAAACTTGCCTTTCTGCTTGCACAACGAGCCACGTTCGCGTAGCGGCATGACAGTTTGCGACACACGGTGCCCGCCATCCTAAGAGGAAACTCACGAAGCCGAATCCCTCGATTTTCCAGAACGAAGACACATGGCACGACTGCCAAACACCATAGCGAAGGATTTGGTTGCTTTCCACGGCGATCCGTACGCCTGGTTCCATGGAGCGTCTATGTCCTACTTGCTGAGGCCGTCGAAGGGATTCGAGAAAATCCTGAATCAACACCTTCGCTCGATGTTCCCCGACGGCAACTACATCAGGTGAGCGTTCGGGTCTTTCGTGTTTGCTCCGATTGCGGGGAATTGCGGTCTGGAAATACGGGCGTTCCCGATCCCGCGGCACAAGGACTTGGAGCGGCGCTAACGGAGAAAATCAATCGGCAGCATGCATATCCGACGCAGTGACAAAGGGACAGAGGCGAAGTTCCGCGGTCTCGCTTCGTACATGCGATATGCCGAAGAATACTTCAGGAGAGAGTTGTTGCGCGAAACTATCAAGGAGATGAATATATATGTAGCCACGGACGACACGGGCGTCCTCGAAGATCTGCGCAAAAAGTAAGATGCTTGGTCGATGTTGCACAGCGTATAGGGGTTATACATAAGAGGGAAATAGGAGATGACGATCCGGAAGAGCGGAGAGAGTCCGCATGTTCGGGAGTTAAAGGCGGTGTGAACTTAGAGAGACTTTTCCACCATCCACAGCTACCCCAAATTCAGATTCTTCTCGAACCCTCGGGCGGCTCAAGAAGCGTCGCGGAGAGAAACGCGGGACTCGAAGCAGGCTTTCGAAGACGTCCTATTGGATCTTCACACGCTTTCTCGATCTCAACACCTAATTTGCACACTTTCGTCAGGGGTAAGCCATCACTTCTTGCGAATGAGACAGTTCAAACCGAAAACGCGTCTTCCCCCGATGATCTCATGAAGCGAAGTGATAGCGACCGCGCATCCAAAGCACCAGCGGGATTGGTCTTTTCGGAGATCCAAGAAGCAGCTTCGGGCCATTTGCCCAATTCCGTCGTAATTTCGCAGTGATTGATGCGGATTCTTTTTTTTTTTCGCAGTTCGGACGAGTTGCGTACGAGCTCATGAATCAGTATCACCACGATGCTTGGCGACGAGTGTCCTCCCTCGACACTGACTACATATACGCTTTCGCATTCTTCCCGGAGCGGTTGCCTTACGAGCCGATGGACGGCGCAGTCTTCCAGAACGAGGTGGCTGCTGCCGAGTAAGTAGACATCGAACTTTTGAATAATGATCTGAACTTTCAGCCGCGGCATCAGAGTGGCAAGCCCTGGGGGAAGCTTCGTTCTGGAAGTGAAGCCGATCGATACCATGCACCGGCCTGTTCGGAGAACCGTCTCCAGCTCCCAATCGAATTGAGTGAAAAATATTCCGCGTTTCCCATGATTCGGCCCAATGCACCGCAAGAAGGAAACGGGAAAAAATCAGCGCCCAGTCTCACCTCCGAGCGGTTCGCAGTGGAGAGCCACGACCCTCGACTGCGGTGCTCTTATTACGGAGCTGACGGCAATCAAACACTCGCTCGTCCCCATTGATGGGTGGGCAACGACAGGAGGACACTCGGGCCACGACTCCGACGAGGAAAACCTCCACAGCGAGGGGACTGTACGCGTGTTTTATTCGACGTGCATATAACTAATCAGACCCGCGGGCGCTCGAGCTTTCGGTTCGGCCGTTAACAGAGGAGACGACTGCTACTGTAGGTACCTCGTGTGCAGATACTCGTAGTGTGTCTGTTCCCGAATGGCGACGTTGACGTTAATAGTGGCTACAATCAGCTATCTAGCTCCGTTAGCGACGACAACATTCTACAGCAGATACATGACTCGCGCTGCTCCTTATCAGGTAGTTGTCTCTCCGAGCTTCCCGAGCCACGACGCGTTGAACGATACTGAGAGCTCTAGCCCGGTCCTTCGGGAGGATCTCTCCTAGAACCCTCTGTCGGGATTTGAAAGGAGCGAGCCCTGGCTCTGCGGGCAAGCCTGGCTGTAATGGCGAGAGCAAGTTCAAATGAGTTGGGAGCAGGCCGTGAAGCAGCAGAGACAGGCAGACGGGACCTCCAGGGAAAGGAAGGGGAGCAACGAGCGCTAGAGAAAGCGGGGAATCGCAACCTTCAGACAGAATGAGACTTACCGTCCGTCTGAACCGAGGCTTCATACAGCTGCTCATTATGGCTGTCGGGAGTCGCGAGTATGACATAGTGGGAATTGCGTGACTTGGGACTCCCGCTATCCCGAAACCGGGACGCAGGAAAGTCGCGTAAGCTCTCGGTCGTTGTTGGGCGTTTCTTCGCTTTGGATGGGGCTACGGTTTGCCGTAAGCGGGGCACGGGATCCTCCAACGGTGCGCCCAGTCTGCCTTTCCCGGATGATAAGGCGAATTCAAGCTCGGCCTGACCTCAACATTTCCTGATTTAGACCTCAACCCCCACATGGCTTATGCGCCAAACTGGCGTTGATCCGATGAAAGCCTTGGGCCCAGTCCGCTGGAAGCTCCGAGTCTCAGATTGTATTCAATCAGAGGAACGATTACGGACGCGCCGGGCTAGAACAGCAGGAGGGCTGCTGCCGATGTTCCGAGGCGAATTACCGACTCTCGAATAGCCCGATGTGCTGCAAGCTCTTTGTCGATTCTGACGCTCTATATAGTTTCCCTGATGAGGATTTCGTGCCCGACACAAGGGAAACGCTGTACCTAAGCTCTAAGATTATCCGAATCTTTTCCAGGTCGCCGGCGGAAAAAGGTAAATCATTGACAGATTCTTACTCGTTGGCCGCTGCATACATCACTGGGTGGTCGAAACGAAGTTCGGGGCCAGATGGTTTTGTCCCGACCCATGATCGGGCGCACATGGTTCCGAAGTTCAAGACCGAACAGGCTTTCCGGTCGAGCCAGTATGCTGCTCATATAGCTCCAATCAGCAATACGGACCATGAATTGTAAAGGTACGTGGATGGTCGCCGAGCAAGTCTCATGTTCTCCTCACGCCAACTTTGAGGGAACGTTAGAGCATGCGCGCGAAATGAAACTTTCAAGCCTGGAATTTTCTGCCCACAGCTCGAGAGTCGATGATTGCAGATGCTGACTTGTAGTTCTCGATTGAATCGACTCTCCTGCGACGGAAGCGCACAAAAAACGGGGATGCGCTGCGAGGCAGCTCCTCTTCTACCGCTTGTCGCGGGAGGAACGAGGTAACCCGAATCCACTAAGCTACGATGTACATTTATTCGAACACTGATGTTCCTCGGTGGGCGGGGATTTCCCGCCGCCGCGACCACAGAAAATAAATCTAACTCGAAAAGATCCGACGAGCCTCATCGAAGTTCCAAGCATAGGGAACAATAAATATGAACATCGATTCTTCTACTATGGAAACAAACTCCAGCGAGAACCTGCTCGGATTCGGATTTATTGATGAGTGAGAATCCCTTTGGTCCAAGGTTTTGTACCATTTCACACTGCTTGCGGTTCAGCGCTGCTGAGAGAGCCTCTTGTGAACGGCTGGAAAAAAACGACATCGTGGATGACAGGCTTATGCTCACTGGATGGCTTCGCGTAAGGGAGGACCTTCCACACGCGTTCCCTGCACGCTCGGTGTATACCGGAAAAGGCAGGCAGACAGTTTCAGGGCATCGCGTCAGGACCGGATATCCAGCTTGTGAGTTTCGAACCCTCACACTCGGACCACCGCTCTCGCGAGGAGACAATTGCCCATATCGAAATTCTACCGATTCAGAGTCTGCACGCGCGTCTCTTGATAGGACAGGAAGTTTCGGTTCAAAATTCTGATCCGCTCGTGATGCTGCGCAGCGCTATCGCGTCAATCGCTTCCGACCACGAGCTCACGACTGTCAGCAAAGATCGGGAGGTTGAAGAATTTCGCGGAAAAAAAAATCGTAGGACGCGCTTCATATCTGTCCGCATAATACCGCTCCTCCGGAGATTTTATGTCTTCGAAGGCGCTCTCCCAAATAAAAGCCAGTCTTCGTGGGAAACCGCATATTTCATGAAAAATCGCGGTTATTGACTGCGGTTGTTCGCTGTCCCCCGTACCGCGTACCATGTTGAATGAAAAGCGCGGTTGCGCTCAATAACCACGGTTGCAAAGCCTAGTAGGAGCTCGAGATCAACGAAACCAACGGGGGCGTTCGCTCTAAGCTCACTTCTAGAGGCTAACAAATAATGGGACTTCCAGCAAACAAATAGTGACGAATCAATGACCCTCTCAAACGCCGGGGGACAATCGAATCGGAGTGGGCGTTAACGAAGTTTCAGCGACGGAACTGTTCCCCTCCGGGAAGAGACCTACTTCTTGTTGGAAAATTGGAACGGTTTCAGAAAGACGGATGGGAGGGAGGTTTTAACGCAGTCGGGGGGTCCGAGGGGGATTCAGGCAGTTGCTGCCTCCAGGCGCTACCGCCGTAAGAGAGATTATAGACGGAGTTGGGATTCTTCAATTTTCGTTCCAAATTATTCGAGGATGAGGAGTCGCATTCTTCTCCGATTCAGGCGCGCTGCTTGACCTACCAGGGCAGACTAGAGCTGCTACCCCCAATGAAGCTCTCATCCCAATCAGTAGTAACGTAATTAATTATAAATCATGAAGCACGAAGTGCTAATAAGCTCCTCGAGTCCTTCAGGTCATCCGATGTCATCGTCATAAGGCTATGGATTCGGCGCGAGGCTAGAGGTCAAGGTGGAACTTGACCCAGCGATTATTGAGGAGTCGATCATCTGTCTGTCCTGGATCCGCCATTGATGTGAGACCGTAGGCAATGGCACCAACGTCTATGATTCACCTTCTGCGACTACCTTTTGATATGAAACCGACTCGAAACCAATCTGGCTAATCAGGGGCCGAGGTTTACGCTTGCATACCAACGAGCGAGCGGAAGTCTACATGTGGTCCCTTCTTCCTCGTCGATTTTGAAATTCCCGCCGTCTGCAGTCTTCGTGTTTTGACACAAGTCGACAGAATTCGTGATATATTGTTGATTACAACTGGATATCTTCGTCGATAACCAGTCATGATCCGATTTCGGCTCGTGGCGAAAGCACTGAGCTCTCGATAAACCAACGTCTGCTGGTCGGAACGTCCCTCACACGTTCCGAGAGCTTCCCTTCTCAGAAAGTCCCCAAAGAAGCAGTGCCGCTCCGAAACTCACTCATCGACGAGCCACCTGAGGTGCGAAGCTCAGGATGCCGGAGCGTGTGGTTTTTGTCCGGCCACAGAGCTCAGAGCAGGAGTTGTGCAACATCAAAGAAGAACCCGAACTCGAAGCCGAGCCCACTCTGACTGGAGAAGAAGCCCAAGCCTTCTACGAGGATGTCTTGGGCTTACCATCGACATCGTATCCAAAACCTGATTTGACGGCGGCGACTCAAAGTTCAGTGAGACACCGTAGAGAACAGGACTCTTCTGATGAGGAGGATAAACCCGGTGATGAAACGAAATCAATTTTCACCAAAACTCTCTTCTCATGCGCCCAGAACGGAGAGAATCGGCAGTTGAAAAGGCTCCTGCTTACGAAGAAGCTCGACGTTAATATCCAAGACGCGTATGGCTGGACTCCCTTGCATTGTGCGGCTGTCGAGGGGCATATCAGCTGCATCCGGACCCTTCTGAAGTTTGGCGCATCGAGAGAGCTGAGGGATAACAAAGGCCGTACACCCTTGGACCTCGCTAGAAAATCAAAGAACCATTCTGCGTATCATCTGATCAAGCATCACGGAGCGAGTGAGGATCGTCAGAACCAGGAGGATATACCAGCACCGAAGATCGTGACTTGCCAAGTTTGTAACACTGAGTACGATGCAGAGAAAGAGGAAAAGCACGTGACCTCTATCGTCCATCGAGCGGCTATAAATGTCGTGAAGGAGCCCCTCTACGGAATTCCGCAGGGCAATGTCGGTTTTCGAATGTTGGAGTCGATGGGTTGGGAAAAAGAGAGGGGTTTGGGTCCCGCTGGAGAAGGACGGAAATTTCCGGTGAAGACTGTGCTCAAAAGAGATCGGAAAGGTGAGCTCACTCGCGTTGCCGCCCTGTCAATCTTGGATCTAGAATGCATCGATCGAGAGCTGGCTAGAATATTCGCTGAATCGTTCTATTTCGATTTCAGGTCTGGGATTGCCGGCGCAGAAAGCCAGAGTTTCTCACTTCGATCCTAAGGATCCTCTGGCGGTCAAGCATGACTGCGAGGATCGTGGCGAAAAACGGAAGATGCTGCGTAAGAAAGAAATGAAGGCCAAAACCCTAGAGAAAGAGTTCAGAAGAGCTTTCTATTGAATTGCGGAGGAATGTGATCTAATGTAAGCCATGTATCAATAAAGCATATGTCCTCAATAAGATAACGTTTTCTGTTTCTTCGGACCGGATCGTTACGATTGCGATATAATCCATGCATGTCACGAGTAAAGAAACTGAGCTGGTATCGTTAGAAAAAATTCATTTTTTTTCCATCATACCATAAAGTCGTGATAGAATTCGTCATCACCATAATAGTGGAATAAGGTATCAATGCTTCAATATAGTGGTAATAACACTTGAAATTACACAACCGGAACAGGCGTGTCCTCGCCACCGACTTCGTTGAGAGACCTTCCCTCCCGCCCATTGCGGCTCGTAGATTCGTACGAATGCATTGATAGGTTACGGATCGTCATAGAGTTGATTGAAAGTTGTATATCATCGGATGAGGGCTTGTTGGCTCGTTAGCCAACAAACGTATGAATAGCTACGATCGCAACAGGACTCGGGCTCGAGAATTTCTTCAACGAAGCTTGACCAATGGCGAAGGCAAGCCTGATTCGGCGGGCGCGTCGCGTCCGTATCACACTACAGAGATTTGTGAACAGTTCGCCAGCCAACAACAGCAACGATCCGTCTCGGAACTCGCGTTCACCTCACGGAGTCGAACGGAAATCCTAGAGGATCCGGAGCAATTATTGATTGGCCAACTCTCCCGTAGACGAGCAAGCAGTGCCTTCACCGAAACGCAACGCAATTTCAGGGGTTCCAACGGACTGCCGCAACTCCAAAGGAGCCTTGTGCCTCCAAGGAACTTGAGAGCACGAGGCTCGCCGTTGGGATCGAGCTCGTCTGATTGATTGATTGACTTACTTACTTAATGACTGACTTCATCATGGACCTTTCCTTAGCGACCTCTCTCCCTGCGAAGGTCCTTGGAATTGAGGCGTCCGTAAGGAACTCCGCTATCACACTGAATTATTTATCTACACGGTAAAGCTCTGAGCCGATCGAGTAGGGCACGCCCGATCACGACGCTCGACGTTATCGCGGCAAGAAACCTTTTCCGTTCAAGTGCGAAGCGAGCGTGCCCAACTCACGAATCGATCAGAGCGATGAGGAAAAATGGGTTGCGTTTCGGTACCGACAATTTCGATCCCTTCAAGCGAGGAACCAGTTCTCCGTCGTGTTGTCCCTCTGAATCGTAGGAATATAGGTAAGTTACTACGAATTGAAGATTATCATAGAGTGAGGTAAGAGTTGGCTCCTTCCTTCTCGACGAGTGTTACTGAGTGAGGCTCTTTCTTCTATCGAGAATCTGGAATTCGTATTAACTTCCTGAGCCGATACCTTGGGCGAGGCTCGGTCTGATAAACCGTTTCTTCATTCCCTAACCAAACCCACTGAATCGAATGCAAACAATCGACACTTGAAGAAATTGAATCTGGCATGAGACCAATATAAATATGAGAGAGGAACCGTGAAACGAAAGCGTGAAGTTTCGACTCGATCGCGTCGCGAATTCCTCGGTGAAATGAATCAACCATAGGGGCAGAAACCTGATCAAAGCCTTGAAAACGAACCCAGAGTCAGACCCACGACCTCACCCCCCCCCCTCCCGCCTCATTCACCCATGAGAAATCTCAAACTCTCCGCACCATCGCGGGCGAAAGCGGAATCCCATACGAGATCACTACGGGGATTTTCAATTTGAAGTAGGGCCTGAACGCCCGGAAGGTGGCTATGACTTCTGCTCCGACGAGACCAGAGACTGGAAGACGACTAGAGGGTTCCGAAAATTTAGTAGAGCGATCCGAGAAGAAAAATCGAGTATAAATTGAGGCAGGCTCCGATTACTTCCTCCTAGTCATAATTTTCAGATACTGGAGGGCGTTGTGTGATGCATTCATCTTGGCCAGCTCCTCGGTCTCTCCGATACCGAAACACACCGCCAGGGGAAGAGTAGTCAAATGGCACAAGCAGCTGTGGCAACCGTCAACCGCTTCTGCCGGAATGTAGGTCACTTCGAATCGTTGCTCTTCGGCGATCTCGCGGAGTAGACCTACGTAATTCAGTCCCGACGTGACCAGGTTCTTATACTGGAGATCTTGGAGACGAGCACCATTCGACGCTTTGAGTTGTTTCAGTATGTTGGAGACTTGCTGCGAGTGCTTCGCCGTGATCGTCGGAATCGGCTCGGTCTTGAGAATCTGGAGGTCGCGCATCTCTTCCGCAAGCTCCGAATATTTGGTTTCGATGTTATCTGATACGGGAGAGAACAAACGTTCGTTGGAACCCGGCAGGCAATGAACAGATTCATCGACGAGAGAAAATTTCCATACTTCGAGCATGGTTCCGCAGTCCAACTCACCATCGCCTTCCGTTGCAGCCTGTTGAAGACGCTCGATCATTTGTATCATGTTGTAGGCGGCTTGACGTTTAGCGAGTCTTTTGCTCTTGCCAAAACCGATTTCAGAATAGTTGTTCACGATGCACATGATACCGAAGGTCCGTTCGTGGGGAAGGCCCTCCTCCATCTGGGTGTCGTAGAAGGGAGGCCGCCAACGTTTCTTCATGCAGAGTTCCTGTATCCAGTCAACGGTGCGTCAGACAGGGGAAACATGCATAGATATAAGTGAATGGTACGAGACATCGGTTAAGAGCAACTGTAGGCCACCTCCGAGAAGCAGCGAGTCTATTCTCGAACCTGCAGTTGGCCGACTGGATTCCCAGGAATTCCATCGTCTTCTCCTGAATCAGATGCGGGTCCGGTGGATGGCGACAAGGGATCCGTTTTGGCTACGGGTGTTGTGGGTTCTTTCTCGGGTCCCAGGCCATCGCTCATGCCGACCATGCCCTCGAGGAGGAGGGGTCTGCGGAATAGCGCAGAAATTTATCATATGAATCCAGCTGTATTTCTCCTTGATCGGTTCTGCGGAATTACACTATCACCCGGACAATCGTTCAACTCCAGACGGAAACAATTTCCGAAAATTCGTATGAAGCTGAAAGACTGTCGGTCGTCAAATCGTCGTACTGATATCGGTCATCAGTGAACTCACTTGAGGAACATGAGGGGTCCGATATCTTCATCGACGATTTTATCGATGAGGGCTTTCGCGGCACAGTGTTTTGCTTTCTTCTTACTCTGCCCAGCGGCTGTCGCTGACACATCGCCAACTTCGACTCTGGAAAAAGTTCACTGAGCTGCACATTCCGGGCCGTGACTTGGGCTTCCGTAGCGCGACGAGGGGAGGAATACAATGGGTACGTTTGGGATTCCGTAGCGAAGAAGCTCTACACCGGAGCCTCGACCGAGAACACTCACCTGTAGACGAAGGTTGGCGCGTGTACGGCTCCCTCAACCGAAATGAGCTTATATTCGGGAGTGAGGCTTTTGCGACTGCACACCTCTTGTAGGACACTAATCGGCGTCTTCTGGTTATGGCTTCCCGACCCGAGGATCGCCGCTGTGCCAGCCGTCGGATTGGCTACGTCCAGCACGCTGAGGTTGTGCCATACGGAGTCAGCGGACGACATGGCACACATCGGATCAGAACTCATGAACCAGAAGTCTACCTGGAAGAATTTCGGTTCGCCGCGCGGTCAGACACACAGTCGAATCCGATCTCCGCGATCCGGGAATACCTACGCCTCTAAAGCCTCAAAGTCGATTCCAGCCTGCGGAGCGAGTCCATCCCGACTCTGGCTAGGGTTCATCCGATATGAACCATATGGTATGCATTAGGTTCTCAAGGTAACCGAGCGAATTTAACTATTTCCAGACGCCTGATATTCTATAGTTGCAGCCTGTCCCATAGGCTCGCTCAGAAGCCCGCCAAGTGCGAGTGGAAAAAACGAACAATCGTGTGATGAAGCGTAGCAGAGAGCTCATTTCTCTGACGGTCCCGCCCCGACTAACGTGGGTATACGTTTACTACGAGAAGCTCAACCTCTATTTTCGAATTATCTAGGAAACTTCATCTATCTCGAACATCTACAGTCTTCCAGGAGAAAATCATCCTCCGAATGGAAGGATTCGTGTGCGCGATTTCCGAGCGTCTGTGGCTGCTGCTCTCCAAGTCTCGTGAAACATTTGTCCTGCGCAAGCCCTTCGTGAGAGCTCCGTGACGAATCGAGAGATGGAGACAGGGAGAATTTTCGGAAGCTTCCGGTCCGTCGCCTGATTTCTATCGGGAGAGATAGCTCCGTCCCGAAAAAATTCTCCCGAACTGTGCCCGAGAACGATGACCCGTTGGCTGCGCACTGTGGGATCGGGGTTCGAAACCTGTCTAGAAGGAACTCCGATCTCACTTGGGCGTCTCGGGCACCCTGGGATTCCAGAAGGGGGACTCCTGCACCGGAGAAAGCTAACTCCGAGTAGTTCTGATCGCTTAATGATTGATCAGACGGAGAAACAGTTATTCCGGTGTGAGCATCGGTATCGAACAGCCTCCTCGGTGTTTATGATTGAGTTCCCTGTCTGACGACTTGGGGTGAGCACCGATGCCAGGAACTCACAAGTTCTACCTGGTAAAATATATCGCTCACCGAGAACCGGCACACAATTGGTCAGCACCCGCAGCCAGGTCTTCCTCTCCTAACACACTGCTGTGTCTGCTCTGTAGCTCTTCTAATGGCGCTTCTAGGGTGACGCGGCTCTTGCTCCAGCAAGCAAGGCGCCTTGATAGAGGCACGACAACTAGATTCCCCTGCTGATCAAGACTGGCTTGAAGAGAAAACTCACCGGTTCGGGAAAACGCTCTGAAAGATCCCGGGGAGGTTCCTTCTTCGCGAAGTGATCGCGCTGTGGCCAGGTGTGCGACGGTATCGAATTGGAATAAATCTGTCCCTTCCTTGGCGCGAAATGCCGCAGTGGTACTGGCACTACTCCGATGGAATGACCCCAAAACTCAGCGCGCTTGACGTCGGAAACTCACCTCGCTTGAAGAGCTTTTCGCTCGGAGTTGTCCTTCTTCTCGCGGTGATTGGGTCGAAACTGACAGCTTTCTTATACTTTCAAAGGTTCCTGCTCGGTCCTTTCCGCTCTCGATCGGATCGATGAGAGAGAATGAGGCTATATTCTCGACCCGGGGGCAGGGCGGGGGTTCTCGACGGACATTATGCCTAAGGACTCGAAAAACCAAACTCATCATATGTACATATGGATTATAGACGAAAAATCCGCATCGCTGGTGGAAAGAACATCTTCATCGAATCCTCGAGGGGATGCGCCACCGGCTTCTCTCCCCTCGGCTAGGGAATTCCGCGGGGACGTGTTTGTTGCATTCAAGCGGCAAGAATGATGCGACCCAGAATTGAGTCGCACCGTTGCGCCCCAACCGCGAAAGACTGTCTTAGATGGCCTAGGGTGTCCGGCGATCGCCGTTCGATGGATCTCTGATTCCTCGCGGAGAAGACTGAACGGCACGGTGTGACTCTCCGGGAGTGTGTTGAGCCACTCAGCAACGCTCTTTCATGAAATAATCCAGTCGCAGATGTTTCGGGTCACAAAATACATTCAGTTTAGAATTTATTGTCACAATGAACATTAACAATAAGGTGCTGCAGATCTTTGGCCAAGCATATGAGAGGACTTCTCCAGGAGTTTTTCTTCTTCGATGAGCTCAAAGATCGACCAAAGTATCCAGGCACGCAGATCAAACCGCTGCCGGGCTGAAGGTTCGGATTATTGTCGGGTGATAACAACGTCCATTCAAGGGTTTCGAGTTGGGGGTATTTACAATGTCATCGAGTCGCTTGAGCTTCCGTGGCCGATTTCTAGCACGGAAAATGCGCTCAGTCCACTACTTTCAGAGGAGGTGACGCACATTGAATCTTGAGTCAGAGGGTTTGACGTCGAGAATGAACTACAACGTCCGTAATCAACTAGAATTGAATAAATCTTTGGCACTCATCATTCTCAAACAATCATGACGATAGGCTCAGTGTCGCTCCCACTTGCAGACAATATAATGGTAATGATGATCGTGATCGTCGCAATGGGGGCGAGAATACCTCTCCATTAGCTGATATCGATCGGTATAATTATGATTACAGACACAACCACCACGTCAACGGAGACGACGGCTGATCGGAATACTGTCCTCGGAAGAGGTGAAAGAGACAGCGAGCCGACGAGAAACGTCTCATCTTCCCCTCGTCTCGGAGTTGAGTGGAATTAGCAGAAAAAATATTAACACCTATCGTGGCTCTTGACGTCTTGATATTCTACCTACCGAGGAGATGACGCCGACGTATGCACGGACGCACGCTGAGTAATACTGATTTGCTTTGCGGGAGTCTTCCCATCAACTCTCATTTAGCTGCAAAAACGCTTCGCTCCCTCATCTCTATGCATTTTGTTCTCATCATTCCCAATTGACCCCCATCGAACTTCTGGGGCGGCGCAGAAATTCGGAATTATCGCGAGCACTTCGAGATCATGCCGCTCTTTCCCGAAAATGATCCGTACAAATGAGATAAAGCTTCTCAAATCAGATGATGATGGGGTCGATGCCCAACGTATGTAGCTATACAAAAACGATTCCGTAGCAAAAACACAACGTAAACGATCCACCGTCAGGGTTCTGAGATCTCGAAGAACGTTCCGTGAATACTAGCATGACTACACAATATTTCCCTCTGGTTTCGGTTGGCGAATATGTATATGCCGGAACATCTTCCAACCACATGAAGTATACCGGAATCACGTGAGTACATTCCCTCTCTCCCGTTGAGACATCGAAGGGTTTGAGGAGTTCCATTCCCAACAGTAGACATTTCGGCAACTATTCTTTCGTTATCGCTTAGGGGGAGAGAATTCGGGATCGGCTGCACACGCAAAAAAAAATTCTAGCCTGTCTTCTATGATGACTTCCATTTGACGCCTTGCTACGAGTGAGTATTAGAAATGACTTTAAACCCCTAAAGCCTCAGTTTCATAGAATATTGAGGGTGAGACACTTTTCGAGGGACGAATAATCTATTTGGTTGAGACTTTCTAATGTTTGGACGAGAACCGATAAAAGCGAAGAATCTCTGAAGAATGAGTTCTCTTGGTAGAGTTGCGACGTTACGGGAGTTGACGCAACATGCACAAGCATCCGGTGGAGGAAATGGTCGCGGATTGTGATGCACATGAATGCCTGAAAAAATGACCCGATAATCTTAATCAATAATGACTCTCCGTGACTGGAATGCTGAAATATTGAGCGGAATGAGCATTGGATGTAGGTCGGGTCCGTGACGATTCGGAGTGACATTCACTTGCTCTCCAGATTGATATCCGGGGAAGAGGCTCACCTGGAAACGTTGATCCTTGCCGATCGTATACGAGGCGGCACCCTCGATTTTGTCGACCAATTTAATGAATCCGCTCATCACATTCAGGAGCTCATCTCTTCTCTTCGGTTCAAGGGTCGCCTCATTTTCTCCCAAGAACGTTTTGAAGAAAGCCTTGACTTTGAGCATGAAATCCCAAAGAGTGAGTTGTCCGAAGAAGCGCGAACTCGGAGTGAAGGGAACCGATAGTGGGGGCGTTCCGACAATTTTACCCTGAATCGGAAATCGAAATGTTCAATGTCTCGTTCCATCCTGCTATGATTCCAAGAGTGAGTGGATAGCGGTGATCATGAGAATCGGCAGAGTCCCAAAGAGAGATTCTGACTGTCGAGCTCAATGAGTTTATCACCGCCCGGAACATACCCGATAGCCATGGTAGAAAACTTGCTCGAGGGCGAAGAGAAGTCCATACTCGCCGCACATCAAAATAGTCAAGTTCACCCTCTCCGATTGGGGCCCATTATGATGTTTCACCATCTTGTTTATAGCGTTCGCTAGCCATTGTTGCACATCCTGCAACAAGGAAATATTCATCAGTTCGACAACTCTATGATCTGAATCCGAGCTTTGATCAGATTCCTCACGCACCTCTCCCGAAGGTCTCGGCTCGCCAACTCTCCAAGGAACCGCCGGCATCCTCGTCTTGGGCGGTGCCTTGCACACCTCGCAGAGCTCTGTGTCCGTAGTGCCGAGTGGGATGAACTCTGGAAACGCGCGCAATCACGATCAGATCACGAAATCAGGTTCCAGTGCCATTATGTCTTTATCAAAGCTCTGGTGCATAGAAGCTCTGATGAGTTTTCGGGATCCACTAGATCGCAACTCACCGGCGAATAAGAGCCGCTCACTCGAACCGTCGTCGACACCTTTCCCCAGCCATCGGCCCGACGGGAATCTATAGCACTGACCAGTGACCTCGTTTCTGACGAGGACATGCTCGACGAGGATGTTCGGTGTGTTACCCGTACCATCGTGGCCGATACGGAGCGTTGTTAGAATGCCCAGGTTACGAGCCTTAAAAACCATCTCTAAGCTTGGTTTCGGTAGGGTGAGGGGTTTATCGGTGTGTGCCAGAGTTCCATTGACAGTAACCCAAACGCTAGCCGACGTGCAGCCGCCCAGTGACCTCCGTCCGGGGAAGATGGTCACACGATACGGCATCACAGTATTTGTATAGCTATTCGAGAAACATGAGTAGTCGATGGCGTTCAGTGTGAGGAGATAGTGCAGGAAATATTCTTTTTCATCCTCCGATCGAAGGAATGCATGTCGCTTGTAGAGGTTCCTGAGGATTGGGAAATATTCAGTCAGCTGGACGGAAGCCAAGCGACAAGCCGGTCTATCAGATCCCTCGATTCCCCCCCCCCCGTTCCGATCGCGACCAGGTATCTCACCTAAGAAGTTCCTGATTCGCTAGCAGCGTCTTCAAATGCCGCGATAGACATTTCTTCTCCAGGCTGAGCCGAACCCAAGCTCTCGCGAAACCGATGTCGGTCTTGACTTCTTCCATAGCTTGAATGAATCGAATGTCATTCGAAAGAGCGGCTGCTAACGGAGCCAACGGATCGCCCAGCGATGGGGTAGCGGAGTGCCGTCTCGGTGGTGCTGAAGACGAAGACGTCCGGTTGGAGTTCCGCCGTGACCTTTCACGGCTGTCTCGGTTGCTGGCAGATGAGCCAAACAGTGAACTCGATGAAGGCTCCATTGTAGAGAATCGTCTACCTCCATCTTCAGAAGCCAAGTCCGTCGCCGATGAGAGATCTTCAAGATGGAAAATGTTCAATAGCAGCAGCGTGGATACGATATAGGAAGACAAGAGTTGCGAAAAAAGAAAAAAGACGATATCCTCGGACATTCAAATTCGAAAATTCGAAAAATCGGGTATGACGATCCGCCATTGCTCCGGGTGCGAAAATGGCAGCGATTAAGCAGTAGGCAAGAAACGAGGAAGCGAGAGTCACGGTCGTGCATTGAAAACTATCGAAGGAAGGTTCAGCATTAGCTAGCTTACCGATGGCGGGGAAAATTTTTTCGCCCAAAGCCCAGATCGTTCTCGAGAAAAGATTCTCGAACGAGTCCATGCTCTTTTGTGGGGTACTCGTATTTTTTATCACATATTTCGAACCATTGAGATCCGAGCCCTTACGAGCTGCCTTATGCTGACTGCCGTAAGCAAGCGGGGTGACAGGTGCCGAAGCGAAAGCGGATTTCTTCACGGCAGGATGAACTTCAAATGAGACAAACACAACTTTGTATGGAATATAGTTCAAGAAATTATTTAAAAGTGTGCAAAATAATTCGATTGAATCTTGCGAGGGCCGTCAAGATCAAACACAAAAATCGAGCAGCCTAATCATGAGCAAACAATCAAGATACATTCTCCAGGCGAGCACCGGAGATTTGATTGTGACGGAGCTCGTCCGGAGGGGGTATCATGCTGAATACAGACGAATTAAGTTTTTCAAGACCCGGGTCTGATACGTACAATCCATCTTGCTGTGTAGAGCACACCACGCGATGGCTGCGTCCAGAGGGAATTATATTTTTCTAATTATCTGAGCTGTATATTGATTTCTTGACATGAATCTAGCGGATGTGATATCGCTCGAGACTGCATTCAGTTTTCGTCTACGTTGGCGTCTAGCAACTTCTGTATCCATCCCGATTCTCTAACATGATTACCCCCGTCGCAATATCTACTATATCCGTGGGGATGAGCTCTCATGTATCACTCGATCCGTTCCCGATTGGATAAGACTAATTCTCCGAGTTCACTGACCTGGGCTGAGATATTTCGACTCCATCCCTCCCGTGCTCAATTTCTTGCCATCCTCTATCTCGAGGAAATTTTGTAAGTGCGCCCACAGAGCCGACTTCCCCTGCTTGGTCTGAAGCCCATGCGACCATATACGTTCCAGTAAATCACAGAGACCAGCTGGAAAAATCGAAGAGTTTCGTATGATTCCGGGGAAAACATGTCCCTCGGTCCCGAGGACCCCAGAATTTGCCTGGATGATCAACTTTTTTTGCAATGGAACGGAAATTCGAACCCACCAATGAGAGTGTTCTCCTCGATCGTGGACGTTTTGCAGGAATCGCTGGCTCTCTTGTGACCCATCTCTATCGCTTCGGCGTGGCCCATTTTCTCGACACACATTCGTTTTGTCTTCTGTTTGCACTCGGCCAGCAACTGCTCGACGAACTTCCAGTTGGACTGAGCGATCACTGCAGCGGACGCGGTTTCTTGGATAATTCTCTGTTTCGACGATCGCCGTCTCTGCTGGTGAGCCGTCAGGTGACCGTCAAAGCTATCGCGGTCGCCCCGTTCCGAGCTGCTGCGACGCCGACGGTATTCCGTCGGTCCGGTTCCGTTGAGGTAACCCCTGTTCAGGGTCCAATGTTGGAACACACCCGGCTTATGCTGTGAGTAAACCATGGCCTCCTGGGGCCGTTTCGGGGCTCCTAGTATCGTGTCGGGACATGACATTCGTAACTCGATCGGTTTGAAAGATTGCATGAAGCTCCCACAGCGAAAATAGCGGTCTATTTCGCCGCCATTCTGCTCTTTGAATGCGATGATTCTTGCGTCAAAGATTAGAACGTTGCGCTCGTTCGAGCTTCCAGGAGGATTCTTCGAATCGAGCTCTTCGTTGGCGTTATCCAGTTGACCTTGGTAGAGGATCTTAGCATCGACGAAAGAGGTGAACATTTGCGTTTCGATGAATTTCGAGAGGAACGCCAAGTGTTGTTGCGGTTGATCGGATAGAAATGACGTCTTATCAAAGTTCTGCAGCGGTGTCTCTCTGGAGGATAGATTTGAAACTCTAATTAAGCGAAGACCGAGTTCGGACGCAAAATTATTCGAGAAGCTGGCTATCGACCCGAGATCCGAGCCACGTGTTGAATATTAATCGATTTATCGTGGGTTCGCTCGCGGCACGATAAGATTCGCCCGGCACTCACCGGCTGTTGGTGAGCCAGTTCTCGATGTCGGCGAGATTCGATGAAGTTTCGCTCTTCTTCTCGTTTGCGGGGAGAACCACAAATTGCTCGTAATTGCAGAACATAGACAAGAACCTAGGAATTCGGAAAACTCCTTAATGGCCATCCGGTAAATCGCGAGGTAATGCCGGATGTCATGCTTCCGATTGAGGGAATAGCTCTCTCGAGGATGTCTCCGAAATCGGGAGCGCACCTATTCAAAAAAATCTCTCGGATGGCGTTGTTGATGGCAAGATCTTCTAGAGCCGGATTCATAGGCGTTCCGCAAATCGCTGGTGATTTCAGTAAAAGGTGCTCTTCCGTGTTACCAGTAGATTTTTTGCGTGATTTGCGCAAATTATCTTGCGTGTCCACAGCCTTCTTAGCCTTCGCGTGAACCTGGCGGGGAGAAAAAAATTCCGATGATAGCGTGATTCGTCCCAAGCACGGGAAGAGAAGACTTTCCCGAACCGGGTGAGGGCAGCGAACCTTGTGAAAGACATCACTGTGTTGTGAGAGCGTCGGCGGAGTAGGTAATATGCCGGAAAAAGATGCGCGCTCCCGTAGGTTGGGCTTCTCCATATCGACGCTAATGTCCAGGAACGGCAATGAATGCTTTTTTGAAGATCTTCTTTTCTTATCTCGATCGGGCGTCCGCGGCTCGTCGTTAGGAGCCACGACCACAGGTGCTACTGCTGTGGAGGACACCGAGAGAGCGCCATTAGTTTCGAGGTCGCTAATTTTTCTCCTCTGATGACCTTCTGATCTGCGAGATCTCCGAATCTGCATAATTCGCATCCATAGTCGCATCTATACTCACGGTCAATCCCGATAGTCGGACACTTGTCTGGTAGAGGCAGTTTGAATACGTTGATGAAAGTCTCGGTTAGTTCCCGAGCTAGTTCTTGGCGGTGAGGGAAAGCCGGCAGGTCTTCGGGGACTTTGACGCAGCCATTATCGAGATCGACCAAACAGAGGTTGGCCTGGAGGAAGAAAATTATGCAATACATGAGGACGAGAGAGAGACGAGTCGGAATGGAATTCAGGTGTATTCTACCAAATTTACCTCCCCAGGCACGATATTCGCGAGCATTTCCGTCGAGTGACCCGCCGTACAAAGACCCATGATATACGGGACCGGCGCGTCGAGGAAATCGTAGAGTTGATCCGGCAGAACCGGCACATACACATGTTGCCATTGGAACGGAAAGAGCAAAGTTGTCACGCATTCAGCCACCAACATCAATTTATAGAAATCTGAAAGGCAGAATAATCTTCAGTTTTCTTTCCCCGAGCCCTGAGTCGTGAGTTCGTGAGGGACTTGAATCTCGCGAGGGGACTGACCTGATGCACAGAGTAGAACCTGGTTCTCAAAGAGAACGCTTGTAAATAGCTGCAAGAGATTGTCGACACCCAAAAGAAGGATCAACTCTCGGAATGGATAGTCAAAATGGGGAAGCTCCATCGACCCTGCAGGAAAACGGTGATCATAGGGGAATGTCACGGGGAATGACTCTCAGCTCTGATTCCATTGAATATGCGAAACGATGTCCGGCTTTACTACTCTACTCGTCGACAACGCACCTGGCATTTGGAAGATAATCTCGTCGTACGGATAACAGAGTTGTACGCTCTTGCCGCGGTCGGGCATAGGAAGCTCATAAAGAACATTGTATAGATAGCATTCGTAGGGCAAGGGTGGAGATTCGATGGCTGTGATCATCCGATACAGTGTTTGGAGAATTACCTGCGTGGGCAGGAGAAAAAAATATGATCGTCACAAATAACAGACTTCTCGTCGACCGGACTGGTTAGCCGTCGGGGCGCCCAGAGCTCACGGATACGGTCTCCTATATACTCGTTTCGGAATTTTCTTCCAGCGCACTCTCATAGATGGACTCCCCGCGCATCTTATGCCATCAACCGACATTGGAGGTCGATTCCTACTAGATATCGACAATGAACAAATATATCGGCGATGAGCTCACCTTGGCCACGGACACTATGGGTACAGACGAGATAAGACAGATGGCTTTAGTCACGTACAGGGTGTCCTTGTTGGGATCGTAGAGCGATCCGGTTGGCTCGTTGTGCACCTGCAGGAGGTCCACCATGCATAGAAAGCATAGTCTTTAAATATAGCTCCGCACCCGGCATGTTCCCCCGAGGGGTACGATTTGAACTTCAGACCTCAAAACACGAGGTCGGCTTCAGAATAACTTGGCCCTCTGCTCGAAATAGCCCCGGATAAAGCCACTCAATCATTCTCGGGGCGACTTTTAGCACCGGAGCGGCCGACAGAGTCGTACTCACCTTTTTGGTGGCAAGTTTCGGGCTGAGCAATCGAAAAGAACGCGGCAGACTGCGCGAAATAATGCCGGAATTCTGCGCTCGGCTCTCATTGAGCTCGGCAAGATACATCTGCTGCAGAGTCTGCAGTGCGGTGCACATGTCCCGGTCGCCCACCTCTTCGTAGAACAGCAGCGCATGACCATACGACCGTGAACCGTCCTCGCGGGTCACAATGAACGTGTGGAACCACGAGTTTGAATCCATGGTCTTCATTTTTTTCTGAGTACAGAATGTCAGGCCGGAGGGAAGGCACAGCTGGCGGGGGAGAGACGAAAATTCAGGTGCACGGAATCACACTCGAGTCTCAACGATCTGATCGAGGGCGACAGCCCGTCGGCACCTATCGAGGCCGAAAACAAGGATCGGGTTCCAGGGGAACGCGAGAGCCGCGAGCAGCTAATACTCACCATATTGACAGCGCTGGGGTCTAAGGTGTGCCCTTCGACGCTTTCCGGGAAGTGGACTAGGGCCTGCGATTTGTAACATCTTTCAAGCGGTGTGACGTGCGGCTGATCTCCTGAATCGATTCACTCGAATTAGTTAGGATGCAGAAGGAGAATTTTTTTCCGAAGCGTATCCGTCTCTCAATGATAAACAGCGTCTAAAAATATCTAATGTCGGAATCGGGCTTAACATCCCCGGCTCGTCCTGATCATGCTGCTCGCTGACCACCGTCAACGTAGCGAAGGATTTCAGGGAGTCTGCTCTGCAGAGTGGTCGTCGTCCACACAGATATTCGATTTTTCGCGAATAGAACACAAAGCGGGAGAAAAGTTGTCGTCCGGACGAAATCACGGACCAAGAGATTGGGACAAGAAAACAAGAGCTCGGGGAGAAATTCCGATTGTTTAAGCTCGTCGGATCATCGGAGCACACGTGAAGTAATACCACTTGAGCGTTCGATCCTTCTCGCTCGTCCGGGAGCGACCTAGAGGTATCACAATTTCTACGAAGACCTGCTCCTCCGAGATTTATCCCGACAGACACCCGATGTCATTTCTCAGCCGGCAACGTCATGAACGCCTATTGATGTCGCGAATACGAATTCGCTAATCTGCTCTTGAGCCTCGAACGAGATTTGATGGAACGTGGAGACCATGTCCTTTTGTTGAAGACGCTCTCGACAGGTAGGAATCTAGGACACAGCAGGTCTCGTCGTACACTCTGCATCGACGTCGGGACGGGGGGGGGGGGCGCGATTCCCGAATCGCTCCGAGACGAGCAGGAACCGAAGATTGAGAGCCGGCGGATCATTCAGCTATTTCATTTGCTCAATAATTGTACGGAGCTCGTCCCATAGACACAATCCTCCTCGTCCCGGTGATGGAATTAATTGATAACTTCGGGGTAGCCGCGGTTCTTCCGAAACACAGCTGACACCGAGGTCACGGCAGTCCCGAGGAGCCGATATCAGTCGTCGTGAGCTTTGAGCTCCTAGGGGTCCATAGGCGAAGCAGGATAATCTGATAGAGCGACTTTGTTCTGCCTAAGTAAGTAGAAAACGGATGATAGAGGAGAGTCCGTCTCTGCAGCAGGGAAAATACAACACGGGCGCGTTTCTTTGTCGACTATCGAGACCATGCTCTTCATTCGATCTACCTAGTCCGTTTCCTCGCAGCGAAAAAGCGCGATAGTGGCCGTCCGTGTCCCTCTCTCTTGTCCACGAGTTTTGCCAAAGATACACGGATCGCTCCGGACTCCATCGACGCAGGGAACAGAACACCGACTCCTGGATTGGAACTCGGCCTAGGTACTAGAAACTGACAACTGGGTTTTTGAGTGTGTGGGAAACGATTATCGACGCCAGGTGAAAAACGCTGACGAGATCAGTGGTTTGATACAGAAGAGTCGTGATCAGCGCATTGACGAATCCATCGAATAGGTCGAGTGTGTCGACACAAAGAAGAAAAACTCGGGAGAAACCCTCCCGCCGTCTTATCTTTCCTGTCACTCTCATGCGATTTCGAATCCTTCAGCTGGCGGGCCAGCTCCGCCAATCTATATGTCAATCGGTCTGCAATGAACTACCGTGCGTCGCGTACTCCTTCCTCCAGTTGCACGGGTTCCTCTCTCTAGCATGCATTCGAAGAGCGCGGCGACTACGAGCATGCAGCCGTGCATAAAGTTGCAAGACCTCGTGATACCTTGATGGACGTCGGGTTCCAGTCCGCTGTTGAGATCGAGCCCGCACACTACGACATAGTCGACCAGGCGCTTGCTGTTGGTGGCAGAACTGAGCGCCCGAGTCTCTGTGTGCTGAGGCTCGTTGGCCTCCATACTCGCTATCCGAGCTTAGCCCGATATCACTGAGGAACACGAACACTCCCGCGCACTTCGCCGCCCCATCAGGACCGTACGGCAGGCCCGTACCCTCATCGAAATCAGCAGGTTACTCTCCGTCTGTCACTTCTTCGCAAACACCAAATTCGAGAGCGAGAAGAAGCAGCTGAGAGAGAAACTGGGGAGGGAACCGCCATTTTCCATTGCGCGCCAAATTCGAATCGTGTCCACTCAGGGCGGTATGCGAGGCAGTAACCCGCGATCTCGCATCTCGATGCCTATGGCCGACCGGATCTTCAGCCGGGGACCCAGCTCCTCAAGATTGACCCACCTAGGCTTATTAGGTTATCTAGATCCGTCTTCCGGAAGGAAACCGACTGTTTGGCGCTAGCCAGACCGTGGAACTTCGTCTGCGAGCCTCGACTCGGAAAAACACGTTTTCGAATGAAGAGCCCATGGCATGCAAGGCTGCCGGATGCTCATCAGCGCTACTCTTCGAGCTTCCGCGAATGGATCGGATGATCCAAGAGCCCGATGAGAAGATTACAGAAGGCGCTCGAGGTTGGAGGCGGGAGCTTCTGAGCGCGGCAAACATTCCAATTCTCATACCGCAATGCTTCAATTCTATAAAAGAAGGGTTGGGGCACAATGGAAAGCTGGATGAAGATACTCGGTCCACGAGAACGAATGGGCTCAGCGCTCCCGATTACTGCCTCCCGATTCTTTCAGCTCTATCGAGAAATCGAGGATTCCCGAAGCAGCTTTCGTTTATCTCCAAGACGCTGTCGCGCTTTCCGAAGCTCAGGGAATGGCATAATCAAGTGATTAATTGAAAAAAATACCACGAGCCTCCGAACAGATGCTTCCAATGCTCGAACGTATTTCCGGGACTCCCCAGCTCCTGTGGACCCGTGACACAATGCGATGGATCCGTGATGTCAATCGCTGACCGTCGAACATGAGGACCCGGGCCGGGAGTCGAGGACCGCACGGGTTCACTTCCGAATGCTAGCTATGCAGGTGATAATATCATAGCTTGATCCTTCATCCTAGGCGAGCACTCTGAATGGGGAATATCTTCCCCAACTCGAGTCGAATAGCGGCGCTTAGACTGCGGGCCAGGGAATGGTCAGATAGTGGAGACCTCCTTGCGAAAGGGAGCTCCACAGGGACGCATTGCCAGAGACTAATGGCAAGCGAGGTGGTACCGGTCGGATTAAGGCGGAATCACTGGGATAAGCCGGGGTTCACAGAACATGCACGCAAAGTGGCCACCAAGGCCGCCGGATGCTCGGAAACTCTTTTAGCTAGTTTATCGTGCCGCATACCGCCGTGCGTAAAAAGTTTCTTCTCAGGAGAGAGCATACGAGTGTACACAGGAATACATATATGCGTGGATACCCTCTCGCAGGGTTCTCTCGATTGCCCCGGAGATGTGCTCATATTTTCGAACAGGCTGCCGATCGGACAATAACGTTTTTAACGAATTATGTAAACCCTCACCGTGAGTAGAGCACCATATTAGCTTTATGAGGATGAGCATAGAGGTCTGCGTGATTCCCGAGCCGTGTCTCATGGGTAGAGGGCATTCGAATGCTTGTGAGGTCGTCACGATACGCATAGGTCATGTCTTGCACCAGGGGCGTCGGATACGTGGCCCGCGTGCCGGAGTCGACGCACGTGGTTTACAAAATCGTTTCCAGCATAGTCCTGTCTCGTTCAGTCCAGCCCTCCCTCTGTCGGTTTTGGAATACTCGGTATTGTAGCATGGAGAAGAAAAGCCAGGACAGGAATAGCAAAATAGTTTTAATGAGGTTCAAAATTGGTACATCGTATGGCCGAATGACATCGTGCTGTCAGAAACATGAACTATGCGAGTTTCAGACTCATCGGTCGGCGCTGAGAGCTTCCCGAACGCGGGCCTCCTGTCCTCTATCCGAATTTCTTCTTGAAGAATTTCTTTTTGAAGATCTTCTTGAAGGCACTCGAATCACCGACGAAGATGCATAGGAGAAGTAGCACGACGAAGAGCACGGAGACTGAGGAGAATTTCATCGTCAAAACGAGACTGACGCTTCGAACAATCCGCGGTCGAAACCGAGTCCTTAAATATATCCTACAAGGTCTCTCCCTTCACGAAAGAGAAAGCTACACGCATGATGAAAGATAAAAGGGTAGTTTATGTTCTGTGACGAGTCGCTCGGTGGAAACGAAAATGATGAAGATGGGAAAAGGAGCGTCACTGTTTCTTCATTGAATCGGATTTTCCGCAAACATAGAGCTTCGATGACAAGAATTTCGCGAACGCTGAAGAAATCACGACCAGCTCGCATTTTCGAGCGCAATCGCGAGTACCTACGTATGACATTCACCGGTGAAACCTCCGTCTGAAAAGTTTTATCGAGGAAAGTTGTTTCGAAGAAAATCTTGAACTCTTCCTCGATGGAGCGGATCCGAGCAAAACATTCCCCAGATGGAGCATGTACAATAGGCTCTCTCCACGTCGCGGCGGAGGCTGGTTGCTACGGACGAGTTTCGCGCATCTCTCGTGAATGGTTCGGGAGGAGACGTGGCGATTCCATGAAGCTGAAAACGACTTCATTCAAGGAAACACAGAGACGCCCCGGGAGCAGAATGGGTACGATTAGATCGGGGAGCACCGAACTCAACGCTTCGCAGCGAAACGATCGGCTCCTGAGACTGGACCCCCAAAGATCCGCCAAGTTCCCTGGATTCGGGAGCGGGACCCCTATGGTTGCCATCGATTGGAAACATCCTTACACATATCTCCTCATTCTTGTGTGCTCTCCTTAGCCATGTGTCGTGAATCAGTCAGGGCGAAGCCACGGGTTTCAGTCATCAGATCCGTCAGTCATCGGGTAGTTCCAGAAATCGTTTCATAATACGTCATACATCAACGGAGTCAAGACTCGGCCGATGCCTTCCGGGAACTTCTGGATATTAATCTGTAGAAACCGCCGGCCGCCGTCGAGAGTGTGGCGAGCCGTCGCTCCCTCCAACTACCCCGATTCTTCTCCCGGATTCCGGCCTGTGCTCTCATTCGGGATAAGCGGGGTCGGGGATTCGCTCACCATCGACATGCGACCTCGCCATCCAATACGAAATCAAAAGATCGGTGGAGCTTCATCGATCGTGCACCTCTCCCTGATGAGCTGTCTGGATTTCGCAGTCGGATTTTGTCTGTGTTGGGAAAATACGGAGTCGTAGCGGAGACGATCTGCCAGGGAGCCGGAACCCAACGGGAGTCTGTGAGACAGGGAATTTCTCGAAGGTCCAATGGTCAGGAAGTCGTGACATGGGTAAGATGAGAATTGATGCGACAAGATCGCTGAAAAATCTTATCGCAGCGCAGAGTAGAGCGCCCCCATATGAGGCATCCATTTCCTTTGTTACTTGAAGACTGGTCTTCGGAAGAGCTCCCGCGTATACTTTTTTTGGATACCGTGTGAAATTCAGCATTCTTCTCGGGGAGCGCCCGGATAATCCTCCCCTTCTTCTCCGAGAGTTCTAGTTCGCTGAGTTCTTTCTCCGCTTCCCCCTCAGGATACGCTTGAAATTCCGAGAATACCCCTCGAGCTATCACAAGCTGATAATCTGCAGGGAGCGCGAATGCTACGGAGATTCGAGCATCGCTCAGACTCTTCCCATGAGGCACGAGAATACTCGTACTGGGGCACTCTCCTCCACGTGGAAGAATACTCGAAAGCGACGTGGCTCCAAATGATAAGAAATTTACAGTTTGAAGTATCCGCTCTCCAGACCCGTCAACCATGGAGGTCCCAGGATAATTCACTCCTCTGTGAGGTGGGGACTGTTGAAAGGAACGAGCATGAAAATGAGGGGAATGAAAGGAATGCCTCATGCCGCGAAAATGAAAGGATCGAATGGATTAGATGGTCGCTATTCATGTCAGTTCTTCAATCGATAGCGACAAGCTCGGAGCCGCCTAGTGGGATATTTACACGGAGTTTTTCAATTCAAATTAGGGGAATTTCGTGAGAGAACGATACGGGAGTCCACACGTCGGGTCTCTGACTTCGGCCCACATTGCTCCGTGCGAGGAAATCATCTCGAGTTGGGAGAGTAGTAGTTCAGCGCTCAGGAAGAGAGCGGCGTGGTCCGCGATACACCTGCGAACTCGATTCTGGGACGGAGACTGGTCCTCTAATCGGTTCGGTGCATGGCTCGATTCGGGCGAGACCTTCGAGAGAGGATTGGAGGCTGCAGGAGCATCCACGAATTTTCTATCATCAACCCCATTCCCATCTGCTCCGAGAATTAGCCAGGTAGCGCTTGGAGCCGACTACATACTTCCCTGCCCCGACGCACTCGCCGTGGGGAGGCCGAGGCAATCGAAGCAGATCTTTCCAAGGGTCTCCGATACATTCATCATCATGTCCTGCATGGAGCGAGAATACGCGAGGCTTCGAATCGAGCCTTCTCCTCGGGAATAATCTGCTTGGCACTCCATACAGAACCTGTACCCGGAATTCCCCGCCCATTGGGCATCCCCGGAGCTCTAACTCGCCCCACCAAAATTCTCTTAGCTCTCAGCATTTCCCGGAGTTCTCGTTCCCCTCATCGCAGAAAGGGAGCCATAATTCGATGCACCGGTAAGATATGGGAGCTCATAGCCTTGATATTCGATATGACACCGGGCTGCGTCTGACTCGTGTCGCGTGGAAGACAATCGCAGAGAAGTTACCGGAAAAACGCGGGAACCGGGGAATTCGTTGGAGAGATCCAGAGTCGCGGCTTCCGCGATCGCCGAGGGTCATTCAAGGACCCACACGACAGTAAAAGCTCGTTATAACGACCCCCATTACAACGAATTTCTCGGTACAACGAACAAGGAATTTCTCCTCCTTTGGCCAGCTCGCCATAGGAATAGTGTTGAGCGGCATTCGTTACAACGAAAACTCGGTACAACGAACCAGTTTCGTCGGTCCCTTCGTGTTCGTAGTAACGAGCTTTTA